TGCCATATTCTGCAGGTTTTTTGAGGTATTGAAGGTTATCTATCTAACTGAAATAGATCCCTGTATATTTAGAAAACCTAACTAATGTGGCTATGAGTTTGACTATTAAAATTGACTATTAATCTGTAATTTTCACTATCCATTACATTTTGATATGAGACGTATGTTTATAATACCTTAAACAAGAGTACGAATATACATATAACAAAAATGAAGTTAAATTTGTACCAATAAACCAAAGTCCTTACCAATGTATTTATTTCAATACTTTTTTTCTGTTTTAATTTTTTAAATTATTTTTTATTGATTTTTATTGAGTTCTACATTTTTCTCTGCTCCCATCCCTGCCTCTCCCCTCCCCTTTAACCCTTCCCCAAGATCCCCATGCTCCTAATTTACGCAGGAGATCTTGTCTTTATCTATTTCCCATGTAGATTAGATCTATGTATGTCTCTCTTAGGGTCCTCATTGTTGTCTAAGTTCTCTGGGATTGTGAATTGTGTGCTGTTTTCTTTGCTTTATGTGTAAAAACCACTTATGAGTGAGTACATGTGGTAATTGTCTTTCTGTGTCTGGGTTACCTCACTCAAAATGATGTTTTCTAGCTCCATCCATTTGCCTACAAATTTGTAAGATACTGTTATTTTTTTCTGCTGTGTTGTATTCCATTGTGTAAATGTACCACATTTTCCTCATCCATTTTTTGAATATATATATGTGTGTGTGTGTGTGTGTGCTGGTTTATCTTAGCACCCCATACAATCTAATGTCTCTCATTAGTTAGCTCATTCACAGTCAAAAAATTCAAAGAAAACACAATAATATACATAATTCAGACTCTTTGTGTATTTTCCATCATTACTGGCTTTTTTTACTCTATTTTTTATTTTTATTTTTAAATTTTTGGGCTTTTTTGAGACAAGGTTTCTCTGTGTATCTTTGGCCATCCTGGATCTCACTCTGTAGACCAGGCTCATCTTGAACTCACGGAAATCTGCCTGACTCTTCTTCCCAAATGCTGGGATTAAAAATGTGTGCCACTACACCTGGCTACTCTATTTCTTTAAGGACTTTCTCTTCCTTTTTCTTTTCTCTCCTAAGCCTACATACATTTTTAAGCACCCTGTAAACAATTTAGAGGTTTCTGTTTCCTTTTAATTTCCATCTTAATCTGTTTTTTACTGTTCATCTCTGTCTTTTTTTGAGCACATAATTCTTTAATCTGCTAAGCAGCATGGCTGGGATTTAAACTGCAGCTTTCGCAGCTGGCATCTGCAATCACGGATACCACTGCCCTTCACAGTCAGTGGGACCACAGATCATAGGCTTCCACCTGTCTTGTGGTGGCAGCACAGACCATGAACAGAGCCCTCTGCTGCAGTAGGACCACAGACCCAGGCAAAGCCCTTGGAAGCAACTCAGATCATGGACTTCAGATGGCAGCACAGACCACTCAGGCCAAACTGGCTTCAGGGGTCAGCCCAGACCTTGTCCATCCCCATGGCCTTTGGTGGCAACAGAGGTCACAGACATCAACACAGACCCTGACTACAGCAGGCCCCTGGCCCCAGAAATAGCTCTTGGGGGCAGTATGGATCTGGAAATCACCATGGGCTCAGATAGTACTGCAGGTCATTCCCATCAACCTGGTCCTCGCTGCTGTTGAGTCTCCACTTCTGCCTCTCTCGACAGTGGAATGACCGCTCGCTCACTCTGCTTCTCTCCCAGCTCTCCACCACACACTTGCTCATCGCACAGGAGGCCAAGGTCAATCCAGCTAAAGGAAGATGATTTGGCAGAATTGGTCGGTGGGCTACACAGCTTCACACCTGAGCTTGGGAAATACCTGGTGCTATTTGGATCTTGCTTTTCTTGATGGCTGACAACTTTGAGACCTGTTAGGACAGGATCTTGTAATTGTCATAAGAGCTCCAACTTTCTGTCTTCCATCACAGAGAAAGGGCCTTAACCTGTGCAGTGGTCTGAAAGAGACTGGCCCCTGTAGTCTCCTAGGTTTGCGTGCTTAGTCTGCGATCAAGGAAGGATTAGGATGTCTGTCCTTGTTGGAGGAGGCAAGTCCTTATGGGAGTAGGTGTGTCCTTGTAAGAGTAGGTGTGGCTTTTTTGGAGGAGTTGTGCCTCTAGGGTGGGCTTTCAGGAAGATATTTGTATCTGAAAGATGAACCAATGGTGGCATCTAAAAGTTAAATGCTACCCAGACCTGGAATCCTGGCTCAGGTGTATAAATAAGCTCAACACTAGGCTAGATTTTGTCTTTGAGTTCATAACCCTTTTTTGTATCAATATAACTAGACATCTAACAGCTTGAGCATATAGTACACCAGCCTTGGAGTGGTACCCCTTTGCTTGCTTGCTTCCTCCCTCCCTCCCTCCCTCCCTCCCTCCCTCCCTCCCTCTCTCTCTCTCTCTCTCTCTCTCTCTCTCTCTCTCTCTCATCTTCTTTGCCTCTTCTCTTCGCTTCCTCTCTTCCATTTCATGTACTCTCTGTTTATTTTTTTCTTTGACAAGGTCTTGCTATGTGACCCAGGCTGGCCTTGATCTTGACTTCCCAAACTCCTGAGACCTAGGGTGACAACTGGTTCAGTTCAATTCTTTCCACAGGATTATAGCTGATTTCAACCATGTTTGTCATGCAGTATTTTATATAACTTCTTGTGTCAACCATTGCTGTGGTCCTCACTATCTGTGGTTTGATGCAAAACCCACCATTGTTTGAAAGGGCTCTTTGACTAATTCAGCTGAGTGTTGAGGGGCTTCTGGAAGATCAATAAATCAGTATAATAGCTTTCTATCTTGGGAAAAATCTCATGCCTGCTTAATAATAATGTGCTGAGGCCATCATGTTGGGTCTCAGACTGAAATTCTATAGGTCTCTGCTTTCAATAGGAGAGGCTAAATTAAGCTAACTCTGTGGGCTTGTCAGCCCATGATTCTACATGACTGAATCTTCTGTTCCGTGTCCCCAAGGAGAAGAAATGCTGGTAGGGATCTGCTGGGAACACCAGATGATTAACTCAAGTCTCAGGTTTACAGCATTCTTCCCCTTATCTGTACTTTCGAAAATTTTATTGTGATTTTCATTGTGCTTGGTACTGTGCTACACGAGGAGACTTTCCTGCAGGCATATATGATGTGCAAGCCTATCTTTCTCACACTCTCAACTTCTCTTTTCTCATTCCTCTTTATTCCCATCAGACTCTTTCGGTCCCCAAGACATGTTTACTTCTATTTTCATATCACATATACATATCTCACTTTATGCATTGATTAAGAGACATCTAGGAACCACAGGTACAATATTTGATTTGAGAGCACACACAAATATTTGCTTTTCTGAGCCTGGCTTAATTCACTGAGTGTGGTTGTTACTAGTTGCTTGCATTTCCTGCAAAGTATATGAGCTCACTCTTACTGAGTGAGCAATGGTCTACTGGGTACTGCATTTTCTCTATCATTCCTCTGTTGTTAGGCACAATGGCTGGTTACATAATTTCATTGCACTAAAGTGATATGTTGACTTGGAGTCTTTTGGGTAAATACCAAAGACTTATCCAGCATCATCATGTGATAGACCTATTTTTAGTTTTATGAGAAAACTGCACACTGATTTCCAAAGAGGTTTGAACAGTTTTCTGTCTCATCAGCACTGTGTAAGGGCTCACCTCTCTATCCACACCCCTGTCACTCTTTGTTGTTATTTATTTTCTCAATGACTGCCATGCAGACTAGGGTGAGGTGGAATCTCAAAGAAGTTCTGAGTTGCAATTCTCTGATTGTGCTTTTTCTCTACATGGTACCTAGGAAGTGGTCCTTATAAAAATCATAGTGCTTCTATACTTTCAGTAGACTAATGTATAAACATGTTTATGTGATATGTGATAAATACATATATATGTATATAATATACTAATTCATATATAATAATATAGGCATATTATAAAACACGTGTTTGACTTACTTTATTCTTGTGCTCACAGGTAAACATGGTAGTTCATAGGCTCCAGGTTCAAATTCAGGAAAAGCGAGTAATTGGTGTGTGCTTTAGTTCATTATGTTCCCCATCTTTATAGAAACTTTATAAATACGTAGTAAATACAAGGTCATGAAATAAGGCTGACAGCGGCTGGAACAATTCTCTTTGGCTAACCCAGGTTCATTCTCATCCACCAGCTGTGACATGGAGTGTCAGAGTCGAGAGGCTGTATTAGCTGCTTTTGTCACCACGGTGACCAAATACTTTACATACAAATGCAACTTCAGGGAGAGACAATTTATTTTGGCTGACAGTTCAAGCTATAGTCTTTCGGGACAGAGAAGACTCGGCAGTGGGAAACGGTATCAACGATGACAGAAGTGGGGAGCAGCTGCTCTTTTCATCTGTCACCCACAAAACCGCAGAGAGAACCCAGGTGGCGGAGGGTGGAATCTAACTCTCAGAACCCAACCCCTAGTGAGCCACTTTCTCCAGTTAGGCCTTCCTCCCAAAGATTCCACAAAGCTCCCCCAAATGGTACAATTAGCTCCTGTTCATACACGTGTTCCCTTTACACAAAAAACGTAGCCCTGACTTTTGCTCTCAGCAGACACTGATGGAGCAGAACCTCTCCTGTTGGCTGCCTTTCCTATTTCAGAGACCTGCACTTCCAGATACACAGGCTATGGAGTCTGGGTTTGGAAAATGACCGAAGCCGGAGCTTGACAGGAGAGAGGTTCCTGTTTGGTTACAGTCCAGTGGTCTGGTAACCGTAGAGCACGCTGGTAAACACAAAGGTACACACTGACTGACATTTGGTATGTTCCCCAGTAGCCGGACCCTCCCCCCCCTTAGACACGGTATAGAAGTCTTACATGTTTTACACTGTACACTAAAACGTATGTTTAATCGGGTTACTTGGAAAAAGCATAAGGGATTTTGGAGTCAATGTGTGACTGTTTCCTCACATTTGTCCACCTTTTACCTCCTGCTTCCTTATTTTTTTTTAATGACAGTGGTTATGCAACACAAAATATGTGGCAATGTCTTAAGTTTATCTGTATTTTAGGCTCCAGGGCCTCTTCTATCCTTGTTAACAGGGGTGCAAACCTCTCCTTGCATACAACACATCTTTTGTCTGTGATTTGTCTTAAGATAGCTCGTGATGTTTCTGGGTCAAACATTATCAAAACCATAAACCATGTGATCTTGGTTGACAAAATCTTCAAGGGTCTCTGTTTTCATATTGGAAACAATTTAGACAAAAATGGTAGTTAAGTACACTTTTTAAATTAAGCACAAGCTTAATTATGAAGAATAACAATCTAAGAATTTATTTACTCATACAAAAGGCCATGTTCACATTCCTATGAAGTTCCTTGCTTTTCAGTTCAGGAAAGTGGCATGGGCAAACCTCTTATGCTGCCCTACAGTGGACATAAATGAATGTGATACTTCCTCCCGTAGACCAGGACTAGATCCCAAACTCCTGATACTGGATTTCATGCTCGAAATGTGGTTATTTCCCTAGCGAATACTGTCAGCTTTGGGGTATTGCAATAGCCAGTGGCGATTTAGTAGACTACCCTATTTCACATGACCTGCAAGTTACAACTGCTAAGATTTCTAGCCAGCAAAGCTTATCAGTGCTGAGCCACTTGGTTATTATGGCCTTGTTGAAGGGATTGGGTCTTAATCTTGTCCTTATAGTTTTGCTGTGCTGACTTGGAAGAAATTATTCCAGCTTTTCACAATCCAATTTTCTTATTTCAAAAATTAGGGAAAATATTCACCTTTTCTGGGTATTTTTATATGCATTCATACATTTAAAACACTTAGTAGAGAAACTGATAAATTATTTCCTCCAAAATGGAAAATAGAATAGGAATAAAAACCATGACTATGAGTGAGTGTACCATCATTTCCTTCATCTCTGGTGCTAAAAAGGTTATAATTTTTTACTCTAGTGACAATAAATGTCTCTCTCTCTCTCACACACACACATACAGAGGGAGAAAAAGAGAGAGGAGGTGAGACGGGGAAGAGAGAGAGGGAGAAAGAGGGAGACTGAGAAATTCTCTACGTTGAAATTATTTCTCTATTCCTTTCAAGCCAAAACAGAAGCTAGTTGAAATAACTGTAGTACCCTGTTAGTTAAATCCTTTAAATGCTATAACAACCTGTAGTTTCTTAATTGTAAAGGATATTTCTGTAATATGTTGGGTTGAGAAATTATTGATATTTGATATTCTTTGGTCAGAATCTTTTCCACAGTTCCACAACTGGGATCCATTCTGCTTGCATATATTATGAAATACCCACGAGACACTCCATTTCTTCATGTATTTACGCATGTATGTTCATCTAATGCCAAAGATGTGTCTGTGGTTCTAGAGACTTGCTTTACCTTGTTCTTTTTGTTCAAAGTCTGTTCATAGCACATAAGGTATCTATTATGGGCACCACATATATACAACAGGCTACAGTTTGCTGACAATCTTGTATTTTCTAGATGTCTACATTCTGAGTTAGCATTCATGCCCTGGTACCCTGGAGGATGCTCATTTCCATGACACAGAGCTACAACTGATGCATTCCAACCACTTGGTAGCATTTAGGAGCCCAAGTTAAACACACGAAGCATCATCTAAAGCAGCTGTGGTACCGAGGGATTACCTTTTCTTACGTCACCTCTTAAGTTTTCAAATAGAAGGTACTGACTGGCGGTTTGAAGTTGGGAAAAAGAAGAAAGAATGCCTAGGGAGAAAATATATTCAGACCTTCTGAACCCAAATGTGGAGACTGCAATAGTAAGATGATTTCCCTTTCTGAATTCGCAATATTTTCTTCTGAGCTGCTGGTATCGCGGCACTGGATTAAATTGAAATCCTCACTTGAAGTGAAGAAAGGTGGAGGACCGAGTGCAGTCAGCTGCACGCCGTCTCAGGCAGAGTCTGGCCCCGAAAGCACTTCCTGCTGCCTTGACAATCTCTCTGTCTCTCTGACTACGGAAATAATGACTTCGGGAGAGCCGCTATTCTTCCTGTTCTATGTTGTAGTCTTTCTCCCTGTCCGTGGTTTTTTTTCCTTAATTAGGATGATCTGCCATTTCTCACTACGGCGAGTTAGGTAAAAGCCATGATTCTCTGGGTTGCTAGGTGGCAAGCGAAATGATCAGTGAGACCTGCTTCTGGCAGGAAAACGAAATCATTTTTTATGTTAAATAAAATAACTGCAGGATTCTACCCATAGCCCGGATCTGACTGGGGAATGATAAAAGATGAAGTCAGAGGGTGGAACTCTTTGATCAAATGGATTGCCTTTAGACAAAGCTTGTAAGAAAGAACCCCAGTGCCAAAGCCACACAGCTGTAAACCCAAATGCAGTATATATTAAAAAAAAAAAAAGGGGGCCGCTTATAGGAGTGGAGATTAACAAAGCAAAGTCTCATTAGGGACCCGGGCAGGAAGCTACAAAAGGACAGCTTTGTTTTCCTGTCCATTGGCCTGAGCCAGGATGGAAATACACATACAGGCAAATATGATGCTGTGTGTGCTGTGCTTGTCCAAATAAGTATTCCAAAGGACCCACATGCCTTTAAAAAATGTTCTTGCGTGCTAACCAAGACATGCTGATGGGGTGGGTCAAAGGTCTGACCTCTTCATATGTCTTCATATTTGCTTCAAGACTCAGCCTCAGCTCCCAGTAGTTTCTGGGGGAGCTGAGTATGGACGGAATGAGCCGGAGAACTGTGGGAGGCTGGGCAAATAGGGGGCAGTCTAGAGAATTCTGTACCGTGATTCATTTCTCTCAAGTGAGGCTGATGCTCGCTCTCTGTAAATTGCCACAGTGCAGGAAACAGCGTGGTTGTGCCCTAGCAAAATGAATGAAGCCCCGCAGATGCATCAATCTTCAAAGGGCTTTCATTTTCTCTGCGTAACAAGTAGCGTTGCTAGGTTAAAATGATGGTCTCTTAGCCACACGAAGACCAGCCCTCTCTGAATGAAGGAATGAAGGCAGCATTTAAGGAATGTCAATGAAGTCTCTTGATGTGTGCTTTTCTGTGTAGTTATTTTGCAAAACATGGGTTGAAATCAATGTAGCGAAGATATATGTGACCTGTGGGATGCAGATAACCCCGCTGGGTATCATTGGGGACACCATCAAGGACATCCTTCCAGGGTTTAGCAGCAATTCGAAGAGATGATTTTGACTGGAGTCATGTGTATGTCACTTTTCCTTTCCCACATTGACTTACAGGTATTGCAAGATGTTGCTATCTCTCTGTGTCTCTCTCTGTCTCTGTCTCTCTCCCTGTCTCTCTCTCTGTCTCTCTATCTCTCTGTCTCTCTCTTTCTCTCTCTCTCTCTCTCTCTCTCTCTCTCTCTCTCTCTCTCTCTCTCTCTCACACACACACACACACACACACACACACACACACGAGCCACTGAGGAAGTCTATGGTGACCATAATCTACACTGACTTTTTTCCAGTTGACAATACTAAACAATCACATGTGTATGTGGTAGAGAAAAGCCATGGCGTAATTATCAGCCTCAGGTGAGTATAGGGCCATCCCTCACATTCTTGCTCTGCAGGGCTGACTAAACCATGGTGGAAGGTGGTTTCAGCCCTTGGAAATGGCACATCCGAGATGCCTGTGGTCTGTAATCATCTGGGGGCCGACAGTTGCTGAACAGCATCCCTAACAATACCTGACGCATGTCTTAACACTTTACTCAGGCAGAAAGCAAACTACGTTACGACCATCACAAGGGGCCAGAGCTCACTGCCAACTTCTGATTCATCACTCCCCAGAGTTAGAGGGAGAGTGTTCCAGAACTCCATTTAAGGACACCCTAATAAACTCACGAAATGTCTTACTTACAGTTATAATCACTGCTGTTTAGATTATGGGATTCCGGGAAGGGAGGTGATGGGGAGTCTTAGAGCCATGAACAAATTCTGAGCTGTTCAGAAAAGTGTCCTGTAAATTAAAGATATAATTATCTGGATCACTGTGATCATCATTTCTCCCTCAACAAGTTTGTAGATGTTTGGTTAGAAATCAAAAGAGTGTTGTGGAATGTGCTTCTCAGACCTGGGAGACATGTGGGCTCTGGAAAGCAAAGTCTGCCTTCTGGCCAAGTCCCCAGGGCGTGTTGACTCACACACTTTCACAGGCAAGTGGTGACACTGTCCATTCCATTCCCCACCAGTGCTGTGCCCTGTATTTGGATCACATGACTGAGTGCAACTGTTATGGCTAATAAGGAATATACATTCAGGTCTAATGAACAGGACAGAGAAATCTTCAGACAGAAAAGTTCTTTCTGTTTTTTCATGAGATTGTATATTGAATGGAAGGAGAACATCTCATACAGAAGACTATTGTGATACAGCTTAAAATGAGCAGGGCAAAGCCTTAATAAGTATGTTATAATACTCAGACATATTTGAACTATATCCTCAATAATGTAGGAGCTGCTGTCAAAGGGAACACCGCTGGGGGAGATGCACACACATTGGTGACAGAAAGAGAAAAGCTAGAAAAAGAAAATTTCCAGTGAAAGTTGAGTTGAAGAGGGTGGTAGAGGCCAGAATATCTGTTGATATTATATGGCGTGCCTTGTAAAATGTTAACTAGACCATCCATCTTCCTTATAGGAGTGTACCTAAGTTGCTCACTTATGCCACGTGGGCCTGTGTGTATACATACAGGCTCAGTCAGAGAAACAATGAGTTCTGAGCCCAAATTTACTGAGCGAGATCAGCAAATGCACATGTGGGTAACTCAGGAGTGAGAAGACTTGGGAAGAGGTAATCTAAAATCTAGAATACATTTCTTTACAAAAAAAAAAAAAAAAAAAAAACTAAAGAAACTTTCAACTAGAGCAAATTTCCAGGAAGAAAGCAAGACCCTAATTATGTTTTATAGTATCTGGCCCCAAGAAAGAAGACACGCAAATGCAGTTGGATGAAAGAGCACAAAGGAAAGGAAGAAGACAATGAAATTTTGTATCTATTATCGTCACTAGCATTTAATAATCTTAAAGAGAGCAATGCTGTTTCCACATTTCTTACCTTTTCCAGTCCTATCACTGCCATATTTTCTAAGCTTCGTGGTAC